AAAATTCTTTCAGGCACCTTACAGGGTTATCTAGGTCTTCCAAAGACTCCAACTTCTAGGGTTAGATTAAGGCAGGGAAAAAAATGTGATTCAGCTATTCGGAATATCTCTTTTTACTCCTTTATTTTTTTAAATTTTGCGTCAAGTAATTCTTTTATGAACTCTTAAGAAACAGGGAGTTGGGGCTTAAGACCCAAAGAAGGAGGCACAAAATTCTTTATGAAGCCCTCAGAAATATTTATGTTGTGTTCCATAGACACATTCAGACAGACCAAATGCTTTCTTTCTATTTCTTTTCTTCTTTCTTTCTTTTCTCTTTTTCTTCTTTCTTTCTTCTTTCTTTCTTTCTTTCTTTCTTTTCCTTTCTCTTAATTGTCAGAGGGCTCACATGCAGAGTGAAAGCACCTCCAATAACGTGTGAACACATTGCAATCCTCTTTCCTCCATTTTTCCATCCTATCAAGATCTGGGGCATGCACACAAATGCACCCAGTATGTTTTTCAAGCTATCAGGACCAGGATTTGAACCTTGGTTGGCCACGTGGGATCCAGCTTCCTACACATAGCACTTAACTACCATGCTGTAGGTCTAAGCTAACCTCTGTTACAAATAAAATAAAAATAAATAAATAAGTAAATAAAGGAGGTGGAGTTTATAAAGGTAATAAGGACCTTATTCCACAGAAGTCTCATAAGAAGCTCAAAGTAGAAATGGGCTCATCTTTCAGAGATTTGAGTATAAGTTTTGTCTAAATGATTAGATTGAAACATTAGCATGCAACACACCCACAAAGTTTTAGAAGAAACCAAATCAGCTAGAACTAAGAGGTACGTAGATTATGTCAAATGAAAAGATACGTTTGAATCCCTGAACTTCTACAGACAAGGTACAGGATAAAATCAAATTAAAAAGCCAAACATTACACATCCGCTCAGCTATAGACATAAGCTGATAAAGAGGAGGAGGAATGGCTAGAGTTGGAACAAAAAGCCCAAGATGAATCTCAGAGCCACAGAGGATGTCTTTCTTGTTGCAGATCTCAGCCTTAACCAAGGAATTGGAAACATTCCCTGTTGGATTTCAGAATTGTTATGAAACAGTGATCCCATTTCTGAATAGAAATGGTTAACATCTGTCTCTTTGGCCACTGTACGTTTGGTGTTTTGGGGACAGATAAACTCTCTCTTGAACTCACTGGTCAGATCAAGAGAAATCATACTTGAGGAATTGCACTCAAGGTGTCTCTTCTCCTTATTCTGATTAAGGCAACAAAATTCTGGACCTTAAACTGAAATAAAGATCAAAATAGGATGAGACTGGGGTCAGCAAGTGGTAGTAATTAAGGCACTGGATTTCTGACCAAGGTTCAAGTCCTGGACCAGTGTCTTGAAAATCATGTCAGAAATGTGTGCATGAATGCCCAAAATTCCAAGAGGAAAATGGAGGAGAAGGGATTGTAGTGTGGCCATCCACCCAGGGAGGGTGATTGCTCACTTTCCCTCTCTCAGTCACTTTCTGTCTCTCTCTGGTGAGAACACATGCACTAAGAAAAAAAAAAATAGCAAAGAAAAAAAAATGGGATGAGACTTCCAAGTCTTAGAAAAGGGTGATTTTATTTTGCTCAAAGGTGGGATGTACATTGTTGTGGTTGGAAGGCAAATTGTGGTATGCTATATTTCCTGAAAATGACCACTAAGTATATCCCATCCAGAGTACTTTTCTAAAAGAGTAGTACATCAAAAAGTACAGTTTATAGCTGGCCCCTGGCCTGGTAGTCAAGGTAGATGGATCCCCCATGGCTGTTTGATTCTAGTCCTTGACCCAGTGGCTTGAGAAACATGCCAGGCTCCCGTGCATGCATGCCCGAACTCTTGAGGAGAAGAGGTTGTGACATAGCCATGCATCACTAGAGGGTGTTTTCTCCTTCTCCCTCTCTCTCTTGTCTCTTCATCTATTTCTAATGAGTACACACATCCCCTTGCAAAATTAAATAATAATGAAGGGAAGTGTAATCTTTATCCCCCTCTCCTTCCATCAGGGAAGACTTGTGATATTTGAACCACTTGAGTATAGCAGAAGTGCTACCAGGTAGTACTAGGTCCTAAATACCACACAACATTTATGGGCTGGGTTCTCTGAGGTGCTCAGTCATTGGACACTCCCTCTTGAGATGTTCTCTTGGAGAACAAAATACAACGGTCACAGTTTTGCAGTACTAAGTATGGGGTGGTTTGTTACATAGCACTAGAAACCAAAGCAGGAAGAGATCAAAGAGTACATGGATCAGCAGTGGTGTGGTGGTTAAGGCCCTGGATCCCATATGTTTCACTCCATGGTTTGAGTCTCAGACTCAGCTGCCTAAAACAATATGCCAGGTGCATGTCTATGAGTGTCCAAAATTCTACGAAGAGAATGGAGAAGAAGGAATTGCAGTATAGCCATCCTCCAGAGGGAGTGATTCCTCTCTGTTTCTTTTTCTCTCTCTGACAAGCACATTTGCCCTATGTTAAAAAAAATAAAATAAAATAAATAAATAAGTATATCAAAGAGTATAAAAGTAGAAGATATGACTGAAGAAATGGAGAAAGGAACAGACCCCAACACTACAAATACTTTTGTTTATGCGTCTAGATCGTTTCAGCAAGTAGGCTTATAAAGCTCCTAGAGAGGGATAATGAGACCAGATAGTGTTACACGCATTATAAATGGCTCATGAGTAATAAGGGCAAAGTCAAACATGTGCACAATAGCTGTATGGAGAAAACATACCCATCCACACATTTTTGTATGATTGTTTGTCAGATGCTCGAGAAAATATAAGCAAGAAGTTTGTTTTTTAAATTCCCCTGATTTGCCAAAATACCAGTGATGTTTTAAGCATGGGGGTTAGAGGCAGGAAGGAGGAGGGAGAGTGGAAAGGAATTTTAAATTATCAAAGAAAGGTTCAGCCCAAACCATTTTAATGAAAACAAGACTCCATAGCAGAGTTGCCAGATATTCCAGTGGATTGAAAGCATTTATAATTTTTAACAGTACACGAGACACTTTCTCTGAGATAAATTGTTTCCCTCACAAACATGGACATATGCAATTAGCAGAGAGCATTTCACTATCAGGTAGGTCTTTGCATCTCTAGTCAAAAACATGGTTCTACATTTATGCCTATAATAAATACATTTTAGAACAAATTCTATATTCTTTTAAAAGACCCACAGTGTTTTAAAAAATGAAAATATGACAGAATTAATTCATTATTCTGATTTGGCAGAAATCAACCTATTCAATGAAGGATAATAAGTCTTGGAGGTGAGAAAATTTCATGCTAAATAATAACAGTAGCAAATTGATCCAATTATCCAAGTAGGCAACCAAGTTCATGATTAAAAATTATGTCAAGAACAATAGTAGCATGTGTGACGAAGTACAACATTCATTGAACCATTTCCTAAATGTATTGGTGCTTTCTCGCTATATAACAAATGTCAAAAATTTAGCAGCTTAAAACAATGCTCATTCCTTAGCTCGCCTTCCCACATAGGCCAGAAGTCCAGAAGATTGACTTTCTTCCAAGTTGCACAAGACCCAAATCATGATGCTGGCTAGGCTGACTCTCGAAGTTCTAGAGAAGTACTTGCTTCCAAGGTCACTCACTTGGTGAGCAGAATTCAGTTCCTTGCTATTACAAGACTGAAGACAAGACCTGTCTGTGGCATAGTGGTTAAGGTAGCTGCATCTTACATGGCCGACTGGATGGTTTGAGTCCCTGAGACACAACAAGTGCATACACATGAGTCCTCAAAATCTTTAAAGGAAGGAGAAAGAGAAAAGAGGGAATTGCAGTGTGGTCATTCCCCATGAAAGGGCAAGGGGAAGTGTTGCTTTCTCATTTTCTCTCTTTCTCTTTTTCTCTGTCTCTCTCTTGGGAGTCCAAACACCAGTTGGCAAAATTTAATAAAGAAAAAAGAAATAAGTTGTTTTTTGTTTTTGTTTTTTGTTTTTGTTTTTGTTTTTTACTGGCTAATGTCAAGTAGCTGCTTATAACCACCCTCAACTTCTTAAGCCAGGGACTGCCCATTTTGACAGTGGTTAGCTTTCCCACAAAGAATTCTTACATGCTTAGGCTCTCTCTTATTTTTCTGCAACCAGAAGGTGAAAATTTTAAAAGGTTCATATGATTAGATTAGGCCCACTCAGAAAATCTCCCCATGTTAAAATCAACTGATTAATAATCCTACCATCTCCAAATTCTCTCTGGCCTTAACATAATCAAGGGAGGCTTATCAGTGATAAAAAGGTGATGGAATCAGGTTAGATTTCTGTCTCCCTTAGGATGGCAAACAAAACTAATTACTTTCATTTCTCACCATTTATATTGCCAGTTTCAGCTCTTTGGAACGTGGTCTATAAACTGGATGTGTTTTGTTTGTTTGTTTTTGTTTGTTTGTTTGTTTTGGTTTTTGCCATAGGCACATGCACTTGCCCTGGGGAGATAGCCACACCACACACCACACTTTCTTTTCCATTCTCTTCTTGGGATTTTGGGCACGCACACATACTTGCCCAGCATGATTTTCAAGTTGCTGGATCTAGGACTTGAACTACAATTGGTCATGTGGAAATCAAGCATCTGAAATACCACGCCATCTGCTGACTCTAAACTGGATATGAGCTTTGAGGTCAGAAAGAGAACTCTAAATTCCACTTCTGCTTGTAATCTGCCAGTGGTTACAAACAGCACAGCAATCCTCAAGTTCTACATTGGGGGGAATATAAAAGAAAATAATATACATTTCATCAAGTTTTTGTAAAATAGTGTGTATTATGAAAAAACTACACATGAATTTAAGAATTTTTTTGCACTGAAAAATATTCACACTTTTTAAAATTGTTATTTGCCAGAAGGTATGTGGTCTTACTGAAAAGAGAGAGAGAAAAAGCAAAAAAGGACCACTCTCATTGAAGGAATGATCATGCTGCAATCACTTCTCCTCCACCTCTTCCTCTTCAGAATTTTGGGCATGTACACCCATACACCTGGTATGTTTCTCTTTCTCCTTTTCTCCTTATTCTTGTTCTTCCTTCTTTCTTTCTTCTTCTTTTTCTTTCTTTTTCTTCTACTCCTCTTTCTCTTTTTCCTCTTCTTCTCTTCTTCCTTCACTTTCTCCTTCTCCTTTTCCATTCTCTTCTTTTTGGAAATAACCTCACAGTATGCACTCACGATTCTTCTTCCTCCACATCTCTTTCCCCTCCAAATTTTGGTCATGCATGCATATTTGCCAGGCATGTTTTTCAAGTTGCCAGGGCCAAGATTTGAACTATGACAGGCCATGTGGGATCCACCCTCCTTAACCACTGGGCAACACTGCAAGCCCTGAAATTTGAGAACAATTTAAGAAGCTCCTCCAAGATCTTAAATAGGTAAATGGCAGAATGAGGAATATTCCAGAATAATTGTGTCCTACTACAGACCAAGTCCCAAATCTTAAACAAATCCATGGGTTCAAAATGCTATCTTCGGGGTCATATCCTCATCTTCCAAGTGTTTCTACCATCAAATGCACAAAAACAACTTGATGAAATGAGATAAACGCAGACCAGAATCAAATAGCAAATTAAACCAGGTCATAGTTTGGTTTGTTAAGAGCTAAGAAATGTCTGCCAATCCAAAGTGCATATCTTATGGGTTCAGAGATATCATATTCCCAAGTTTATTTATTCCAGTTCTTTTTTAGAGAATATCCTAGAAAAATCACCCACTTTACAATCAGTTGTTGGTAATAACTGAGGAATGAACATGGAAAGTCACAGAGACTTGAAGGAAAACAGATGTTTCTGCATTTTTTCCCTCTGATACTGAAAAAAAAAACAAAAACAAAAACAAAAAACTTTAAAAAAATGCCTTGCTTGAGTGCATTTTCTTCACTAAAACAAGAGTGAAAAAACCACTTGTCCTATAAATGTATTCGAAAGCACCAAGTATCAAAAACGACCACCAAAATAAGCACGCTAGACCAGACCAGAAAATTGGCTTTTACATCGAGTTAAGTGCAACTATTCCAGAAATTTGGAAACACAGAACTGGTTTCTATCACTGGAGCTTGGAAAGAAAGAAAGAAAGAAAAAAAAAAAAAAGCTTAAAGGATTTTGGAAATACATTACTGAGAACTCTGAATTTTATTCCCCAATTAAAAAAAATTTTATACACGGGAATTTGCCTACTTTTGGACATGTCAGTGAATTCAAAGATTAAATTTTATGATTTTAAATAAGTAAAGAACCTGTTTATGGGTTGGTGAGTCACACATCAAGGTGAACTTTAAAAGAAACTGTCAAAGGTAAATGCAAATTGTTTTCCTATTTGGATAGTTTCTCCAAATTCTCTTATTCTTTGATCATTCTTTTCTGTTGGCTTGTATTTTCAGTAAAAGAATTTAAGCAACGTAACACTTCTATTGGGCCAAGGATGCTATATCAAGTCCCAAAACATCAGTAATATAAATTATACTTTTCTCAATTAAAAAGTTAACACAGGGGCTGGCAAGCGGCATGGTGGTTAAGGTCACCATTAATATAAAATATACTTCTCTCAATTAAAAAGTTAATACAGGGGCTGGCAAGCGGCATGGTGGTTAAGGTACTGGACTCCCACATAGCCTAATGTAGTTCGAGTCCCAAATCTGGTGGCTTGCTTTCTCATCCCCCCTTCCCCCCTTCGGTTTCTTTCTGGTCAAATTAAATAATAATGATAAATAAAATTAAACAAATAATTATTTTTAAAAACTTAATGTAGGAATTTGAGTAGTTCTTAAAACTAGTTTATAGGTGAAGACTTTATGTAAGGAAGATCTAGTAGGTTGAAACAAATTCTTCTGTGAATAAGGTTTTCTATATAGGGTCTATCAGAAAACACATGATTCTTTTGTTCTGGAAAAATACAGTAGTGTTAGACTATGATTTTTTTTTTCTTTTGCCCTCAGTAAAGCCAGCCTACGTCAGTTTAGATTGTGTACACTATCACATATCTTTTATCCTTATAGGTAACAAATAACTGCATTGTTTTATCAATTCTCCTCTCTCCCATTTTTCACTGTATTTCAAATTAAGTACCATGAGTGCAGTAATCTTCCTGAAACACTGATCTGTTTATATTACCTACCTAAACATTTACACTGTTGCCTTTCAGATCACAACCAGAGAATCCTCCCTTTAGCCTTCAAAGCACTCCACAAAAATTCAAGTAAAATTGTCCACTACCATCTGTTTTTGGTAAGTCTGGCCTGGTCTCTCCATGTTTCCCAAATAGCTCTTTTGTGATAACCTTTCTCTTTTCTGCTCAATGTATTGATACCTTACCTTACATTTTCTCAAAAGCCATTTTCATTTTTAGAAAAGATTATAAAGAGGGACAAACAGATGGCATAATGTATACATCACTGGACTTCTACAGAGATGAATGTGGTTCAAGTCCTGGACCCAGAGGTTAAGAACTCACACTGGGCACATGTGCGTGAGAGAAGAATGGAGGAGAAGGGATTTCTGGATGGCCATCCCCCAGATCTCTGCCTCTCTGGTGACTGCATGCACCCTATAGCAAAAAATCTCTCTCTTATAAAAATAAAAGAAAACATTATAAAGATACTACAACTGCATTATAAAACATTCAAAAATTAAATGACATAGAGATAAAATTTTGAGTTCATTTTAATTCTATCATCAAGAAAAGATCACTATTAACATTTTTATGTATCTTCCAGATCTTTTTTAAGTTTATTTTTTTCCTTTTTTTATGAACGAACAAGAGATCTCCATAATCAGACTTAGTTTTGATTCTTGTTTTTGCTATATATAAAATCTATATGATCTTGGACACGTTTGTTCACCAAAGTCTACAATCCCTTATTTTAAAATGGAAATAACAAGAGCCAAATGGTGACATAATGGTAGCATGGTGCTCTGCAGTGCTGGCCCCACATGGGAAGGTCCAAGATTTGGGTCCCAAGCTTCCCTGTGCATGCTGGGTATATGCATGTGTGACTGTGAGCCAGGCTGGCTGGGGTTGGGAGTGGATTGTGGGATGAGGACCCTATCAAAGGTGCCTTTCTTTTTTTCTCTCTCTCATAGAAGATATGAATACTATTAAGCTATATTGGCCTGAGGAGGCCTTCTTACTCGTGTTTGAGTTCCTGTAAGCAAATCATCACCTCACTTGGCCGTCTGCTCCCTTAGTAAGTGGCCAAGGTATAACTAAAGACAGCAGCTACACTTCAGTCAGTCACAGCCCATCCTTTAAAATGTGTTAATGTGGGGGACCAGCAGGTGGCAAAGTGGTAGACTCCCATGTGGTTCATTGTAGTTTGAGTTCCTGACCTGGAAGCTTAAAAGTCACTCTGGGTGCACATGTTTGCATGCTCAAAATTCCAAGAGGAGAATGGAGAAGGGACTGTGAAATGGACATTCTCCCTGGGGTGGGGGGTGGGTGATTTCTCACTTCCCTCTCACTGTCTTGCTCTCAAGACACGCACCCTATGTCAAACCCCACCCCACCCCCCAAAAAAAGAAGTGTTAATACAGGCAAACAGCAAGCTATAACCAGTCTAATTTCTCTATCTCATTCCTTACATTCCTTATTTCTGTTTTTTTGTATGCCAGTTCCTTTGCTTTGTACATAAATGTCACCTCACCACATGGCTGTCTGGATTTCCTTAGAAGCCATTCTGGGGGCTGCCCAATTCAAATTCATTTTGCTTAATTAAACTCTACTAAATAAAATTGTCTGAAGTTTTTCTTTTACCCATACATTAACTTTAAAAAGGAAATCAAAGTGGGAATAATAGTAATTCTTCCCATAACTGTTGTGGGTATTAAAATAATGTAGAAATATTTGGCATGAGTTTTATCTCATTTATTTGGTAATGGAAAAAAATATAAAATTTCCTATAATGTAATTTTTTCTCTATACTATAAGGCAAATATATCTGATGAAAAAAATATTGGCCAACTGTGGAAGAGTTTTATCTTCTCAAACTTTAAATTGAAATTAAATATCTTAGCCATGAAGAATTTACCCAGCTTCTTGGCCTTGGGAAAGGACACCTGCTTTTCAATACTGACACCTGTTCCACACTGACCTCTGTGAATTACTGCACCTTCTGTCTCTGAAAGTGGCCAGCCCATCACATGGGCATCTGCCGAGGTGCCCATTTTCCTGGTACTCGCCAGCTGCTTGTCAGTATGATCTGTAATATATTATCCTTGACTTGACTCACATCAGCTATTCTGTTTTTAGCCATGCTTAAACTCTTGGGGGTTCCTGAAAAACCACAGAGATGATTTCCAAGACTCCAGAGACTTGATAAATTGTATATTGTTTATTGTATATTGTTTCTGCCTCAATAATTCACACGTGCCCAAGGCCATCTCTGCCCATCTGTTGCCACCACAGGGGAGTTCACATCAGGAGCACCCCATACCCTGCTTGTTCATTTTCCTGAGGAAGCTGAGTGTACCTCCCTGTTTCGGATTTTCTCAACTAATGGATAATCTAAGCAAAGGCTAATCTGGAGGCTGACCCAGGGACATGCATGGTATCTGTACAGAGGCCCTCATGGTGCACTTCTTTCTTCTTCCCCACTGGTGGAATTTGAAATATGATCTAGGTGGTTGTGGGATGAAAGCCCATAGTTTACTATATATTTTCTGTTTATTGCTTGGATGGGAAAACTTAGCTCTTGCCTTTCAACAGATACATTGAAAAACAAAAACAAAAAAACTTTATCTTAATGATAGAGACTCAGCATTAATATTCAAAAATATATTTTCAAACAACAAGAAGAATGTTCATCAGATTCCTTTTACTCTACCTTAAGAACTCTACCTTTAGGGCAATAGGACAAAATCTCTTTACCCTCACTCTTCCCTGAATTTGAAAAGTAAGTAAAACAAAAGAGAAGCTAGAAATGCTGGGAGTGAAAAAACGTCTTTATAATTTTATCCTTACATTCTTGTAGGGTACGCTGAACAGTGCCAATTATATAATAAGCACTAATTTATTTTAAATCTGCAGTGATTAGCAAAGTACATATTAGAGTTAACAAGGTAGGTAAGTTGAAACACAAAGATTTACTTAACAGCTGGACAAATTGGAGTTTTTAACAGTTTCAGGCAAATTAGGGAGGAACGACTGAAGCATAGGTTCCTTAATACTTTTTTTTCTGTTTTCCTTTCAGGATATTGTATGGCCTTAGGTGTTTGGTTAAAAGCAGAGATACAGGGGCTAGCAGGTGACGTGGTGTTTAAGGGCGCTGGACTCCCGCATGACTGACCATGGTTCAAGTCCCAGACCTGGTGACTTACTTTCTCACTTTCTCTCTCTTTCTCACTCACTCTGTACCTTTATGATTAAATTAAAATAAATAAAGTTAAATAAAATTATTCTTAATTAAAAAAGACTACTGATCGATTACACTTCATGAGTGCTGAGACAGTAGTTTGTATTTCTGCCTTTCTTTTAAATAAGAATCTAACAGACTTGAAATAAAAATACCACTTCTGACTTCTTCTCTTAGTCAAAAGCCTTTTTCATAATGCTATGTTAATTTTAAGAAATTAATTTCTCTTGGGACCAGCTGATGGCATAATGGCTGTGTCACTAGACTCCCATGTAGTCTACCATGGTTCGAATCCTGGACCTGGTGGCTTAAACTCACGCCAGGCATGTGTGCGTGCGTGCCCAAGATCCTCCAAGGAGAATGGAGAAGAAGGGATTGAGGCGTGGCCATCCCCCCTGGGGAGTAATTTCTTGCTATCTGTCTCTTTGTCTCTTTCTATCTTTCTTGCGAGCACATGCGCCCTATAGCAAAAGATCTCTCAAAAAAAAAGAGAAGAAAGCAAAAGAAATTTACTTCTCTGCTATATAGCATGAACGTTCCATAAATGTGCAAGAGCATGAAAGTTTTTGGCAGCTAAGCAGGATAGAGAGAAGTAACATTTTGGAAATGTTTTGTACATATTTTATAAATATTTCTAAATAAATCCATGTATCTAAAAAAAATGGCCTTGAAAGTATCTTGCTTTGGTAAGTGCATGAATGTGAGAAGAAGAGAAAGTTTATGCTAATAAATGACCCCAGAGAAATTTCCAAGATGAAGAGTAAAGTAATAGAAGAAACTTTGATATTAGTTTTTGACACAATATGTGAGTCCAAATTTCAGATATTTGGTTAGCTTAGTGAAACTTCCTTACATTATTTTTAAAGGTTCCAGGAAAAAATTTAATAAGCAAAGTGATAAGTAGATTTTATACTGGAACACATTGATTTTCTTAGAGGAAAAGGGAATATTCAATTCAATTTGGACAAAATAGGTGGCAAAACATTTCAAGTTCTCCACTTTCACAAGCTGAGTCAGCATATATAATACATCTGTACAATTAATTTTCAAATGGAAAAACAGAAATGTCAGTGATTAAAAACAGATTAATTTGATGATAAACTTCTGCCAAAAATATCTTCACATTTCTTTGTCACTAGAATGAGTTCTTATTCTGTAAACAAAAGATCCTGTTTAAGAAATCAAGTATTTTCTTCTACAACATATTTAAAATAACTAACATTATGACTACTATTAGAACATACAAGTGTAAAATAATCATTTTATCTGTGATTACATTAAAACTGCCCAGAAATAAAATACTGTCTGAGATTGATACATTGTCAGCACCCAGGAAACTCTTCTCTTGAATCTTGAAAAAATAATGTATCATGACATTTCAAATATTCTATAATAGGTTGAGAAACCACAAAACTAAATTTTACATATGATAACCTTTTAAGGAAAGGTATCGATTAGCTTTGGAAACATGCTGATGGGTAAATAGGAAATGAGCTTGTTAAACTCCACTGAATTCACGAAACATAGGAAAAACCATTTTGTTTCATGTTGAGTGGCTATTATTTAATATTAGTCTCTTTGTGATTATTGCATCTTTGATTTGTTTTGAAGATAGCTAAAATATAAATTTTTAAATGATTTTTTTTCTTTTAATTGGTCCAATATAGTCCACCTCTAGATGTATGGTGGATAGCTCTATACAATGGTTCTCTTGCTCTCTTAAGGAGGGCTAAGCTTGTTCCAACACACTGTTAAGTAGTTCATAAAATTGTCAGAAGGATTTGAAATCTATACCTTTACAATGGTGATGCTACAAAATAATCATGTGTACACACAACCACCATTAATTTTAAACAAAATATTATGGTCTAAAGTTACCAAACTTTAGATATGCCAAATTTGCTTCCAAATAAACTGTACCTTCTTTTGTTACCACCCTCAAAAGTGCCAGTGTCATATTTTTGTCAGGAACTTTACTTCTAATCAATGCTATCCCTGAAAGCCAAAAGTGTCTATCATA